AACCGCTTCACATGTATATTAGTCATCAGACGTCAGCAACCTTAGTCAGACTATGGGCATTTGCTACACACGAGAGAGCCTGTAGGTTCTGACTCTGCACCCTGAGTCTAGCAAGGCATGTTGCTGATGCACATGTATTGTGATTGTCAGCTCGTTTGTTTGCGTGGCTGACGTATTACACACGGTTTCGAGAGCTGTCTGACTCGCAAGGTTGCGTGCCTTCTTGACCTGCTTCACGGCCTCACCGACGAATATTCGGGAAGCGGAGGCCGCAACCACTGAAGCAATACCCTAGCTTGACTGCCAGGCTGGAAGCCCAGACCGCAGCTGGTCCCCACAGGCTCGTCACCCTTCTGTCGAGCTTCGGGGCGTGAGATGCAACACCCAACCAACCAGCTATTTTTTCAGGAATGTCTTGCCCTCACCATGCATGTATATTTTGGCCCATGTCATTGCGTTGAATGTTGAAGACTCCATGTGATGCTCGCTTCGCTGCAACTTCCTGCTACAGCTTCGACCTGCGCAACGCGGCCTGCGCTCTCGGCTGTGTGCCGGAAGACCCAGAAGAGGGCCCGAGACGGAAGTATCCAAGCTAAGCAACACGTCAGCCCTCCAAAATGACTTCCTTGATCATCACACTTGTCACCAGCGGGTCTAGTTACGGTTTGCCAGGTTTTTGTCGGTGTCAAGTAAACAACGCCAGAACCACTCAACTGCGGCGCCTTCCCTCAGACCAACCCCGAGCCAGAATTATCAATGAGTCGAAGCAGTTGCTCTGTGATATTTATCATCTACCTTTGTGGTCAGACTCGAGGGCAGTGTGCATTACCCGAGAAGTGAGGCCTTGGCGTCGACGACCGAGGACCGGTGCGTTCGGGTTGAAAGGGCTCGACTCGACATCCTTTGAGCCGTCCCATGGACAGGAAGGCATGTTTTGGCAGAGATGTTCATCATTCCGCGGGCTGCAGTGCTCCTCGCAGCAAGAGACACGCACCAGCAGAATCTGGGCGACAGGAGACTGCTTGGCAGCGCTTTGCAGAATGGGTCGCTGCTAGAGGTGGCGACATGGTTTGCCGCTCAGGTGAGGTCAATATGCCTGATTCATCTCCTGACGTATCAACATGATGTCTGAAAGGAGGAAGAAAAATTCATGTCGGCCTGCTGCAGTTTCAATTTCGGGAGTTGTGTGCACGAAGATGCGGATGCGAAGATGTCGGGAGCTTCCTTGTTTTTTCTTTCGAATGTGTGCCTGCCTATGTTCGTCTTGCATCATGCCGCCGCCCAACGTCCCCCCCCCCTCCCGCACAGCCACCCCGCACCACGAACACAATGTTGGGGTCCCCTGTCGGAACTGCCAGGCGCACGAGGGTGGTCGAGCCATCGAGGGGTTCTGAGAGCATGTCGCAGAAAGGTGTGTAGGAGGCGTTCTTCATCGTTCTTCGAAGGGCCCCCGCATCCGTGCGCATCTACAGTGCGTCCAAAACCCTCTGCTTAGAATCAGGGTAGACGTAAACACGAAGTGGAAAGAAAGGCCAACGTGGAGATAGCAGACATCGATGGAATGCATGGCTCTTGGCTATCCGATTGCGTGCAGGCAATAACCACCAAAACGCCACAATAAGGCGTGGTCTCGTTGCCGCGCGAGACATCGCGGAGAACACCTCAATCGCCAGCTGCCAAGACTCATTGGCTACACAGCCCAATGACTGCTTATACTTCCTGTTGCGACTTGAGGTGGAGATTCCGCTCACTGCATCCATAGACATTTCAGAGCCCGGGACTGCCGAGGGTGCAGCAGGTTGGTTGCGCGATCGTACTACGTATCCTCCTTGATTAGCGAGTGCGCATCCAGGTTGCGGCATGTCGGGGTCAGTTCTCTGTCAGGGCCGGGGTAAAGGTGGTCCAGGGCTTGCTTGAAGTGAAGTGTCTTTCCTGCCTACTGCACTGGTCCATGCGCAGGAACGAAGTCGATCCAAGTGCTCCGGCCCTGAACCTTCTCAAGCCGTGGCCTCAGCTCCTGGCTCCCAAGGTGCATCTCCAGTACCACTTTTTTTCAGAGCCCCCTGCTTCTGCGGGCACCGCACTGGTCGAGGTTCCTGGATGATCCAGCGAGACGCTTAGATTCATGTAAATTCTGCATACATCGCTCACACGCACAAGATGCATGGGCAGAGGAAAACGAACCGCCTCGTCCTTCTCTTGCGAGGAGCTGAAGCCATACATGGATCTTCTGCCAGGCACCGGCGCATGTGTTTAGCAGCAATTTCCAGTCAACGCATGATGGCTTCGGCACAGTCTAAGAGTGATCACCTGCGACAAACAGGCAGCCATTATTATGGCGTCCCAGTTTGCTCAAATGGGACCAGAGTTCAATCGAATCGACCATTTGTCAATATAGACTAGCTTGCAGCTTGGTGGTGTTGGTTTGGGCGTTTCACTCGGGGTTTTCTTCCTGGTTCTGGTCCAGGACGGACATCACCGGACATCAGCAGGATGGGCTGCTGCGCGATGCTGCTCATAGCTCGCCTGCAGCAGCGAGGGCTACTCGTTGTTGGCTTTGTTCCAGATCGGGGTGCTGTGCTTCAGTAGTCTCGCATAACCGGACGGATAGGATAGCCTTCATCGAGCAGCACATCACACCTTTTCCACAGGTTTCGGCTCGAAACTTCGTCGAGGGTGCTTTGTTGGCTTTGCAATGTCAGAAGGAGAGGATGGGGATCTGCGCTCGGACTCTGGTGACTCAATGGTGACCAGGCGCAAGATGAGAAGCTGGACACCCACCAGCCCGGGAGGCGCCTCTTTGAAGGCGCTCCGTACCATGAGCTCCGTCTCCACACTCTCAATGAATTCGGAGAGATCGAGCTCTCGGTCCAGGTCCAGCTCTCCAGCTCTCAGTTTGGACGTTTATGGGTCCGGTACCATGTCACGTGGTCGGACTCCAAGCCCCTGTCCTTCGGAGGAGGAAGTGACCTATTCGCACCACTTTCATTTCTTCGTCCATACGAAAACTTCGCCGATGCACTCGGAGGAAGACTCAGATCAGGGCCAGAGCCAGAGGTTTGCGGTCAAGTCGCCTGCTCATGATGCAGCTCCCTGACGGCTGGGCTCCTTAGCAGGGACGAGCCTGTACAGATGACCGAGCATTTTCAATTAATTTCACCAGTGCGCCGTCTTGGGAGGAGCATGAATTTTGCATCCAGGTAGGTCGGCATGCAGCGCCCCACCAAAAGGCATAAAGACTCGGCTCGAATGCATTGCTCCTGTCACAAGATATGGTGGCACGGTTTATTATTACACTGTTGGCGTAAATCCTTCAGTGCCTGCAAGCGCTTGTCCTGCACACGGAAGGCAGTTGCAGACAGCCTCTTGCTTTCCACACGCGGAGCCACATTTGGGCTCTTGTAGTGTCTTTTCGCATGACGAGTTGCTGCTCAAGCTGATGCGATGTTGGCACAGCTCCTGCAGTAGCAGTAGCAATGGCGAGAGTTGAAGCCATCAACTTTCAATCAGCACAACGCGCACGACGCGACCTGTCCTTTCTGTGAGTCTTGATCATGCCCCTCAAAGATGGTAAAACGGAGTAGACCAAGATGTTCAGCTCAGAGAGGTTTCAGTGTCAACCAAGTTCTGGACGGGAGCACAGATAGTTCACGTTTCCAAAGGGCAGCACGATCAAGCCACCACGAATACAGAATACATATTCGTGCTGTAACCTAGTTCCAGCCTTTCCGAAACCCGGGTGAGTATCACCGCGAGGTATTTCCGATGTCAAGCATGGAGCCGGAGTGTAATTTCGACCCAAGCTGGCTGAAACAGAGTTTCACCACAGATCGACGGCTCAAGCAGCATCTCAAACTGCCGACTCGTGGTGCTCCAGGATGCCAGACTTCTTCTCGGAGGAAGAGCTGAAGATGTTGTAGGAGCCCCGGTTCGCCAACCTATCTTGCCCATGCAGGCGAGCGCAGGCATGTGAGTGCCTTCGAATGGACCCTGCAGCAGACTGTACAATGCTTTTGGTACTTGTGGGACTTGACATGATACTGCACAAGTAATTCCTGCTGCGCGAGTTCACCTGCCAAGTCTGTCACTGTTTGAAGGCAGTGCCCGGAAGTCGTCCAGAAGACACATCGGAGACAGCATGCTGGCTGCAAATATCAACCAGAAGACGACTTCAAGACGTGTTGTGCTGAAAGACTCTGTTCCATTTGCCGCCGCCTTCCCCTGTTGTGGCTCCTCCTTAACCTGCAACCACTCCAGCTGCACGAAGCCATGCACTTGTATCAGTGGCAGCCAAGAGCATGAAGCACCCGAGCACGTTCACTGGCACACTTCCAGCAGCTTCGGCTCCCTGACAGCGAGATTTCGACATATCCACGTGACTGCCACAGCTCAGAAAGACTGCAGTGATCAGGCAGCTGTGCGCAACGCGTGCCGACGAGCACAGGCGCTCAGTCCTTCATGTTTTTAGTGAGAATGTCATTGACAACAACTTTGTGCAGCAATGAGCCACCATGAGTTTTAGGTCATCTTTGGACGCGGAAGACGTCAAGTGGGCATTGTGCACTGTTGCCCAACGCCGCAGTCCTGGCAGAAGCCACCCATTCTGAGCACTTGCACAGGTGTCGGCACAACGCTTGCCTGCTAAGGTGCCTTCTCGGTCGTATCCCCGATAGACGGCCTGCTGCGCCTCCTCCTGCCGGCAGCACAGTCTGCCGTGTCTCAAGCTCAGCACACCGGAGCTTTGGACGCACATTGGATCTTCCAGGCCAGGCATTGACCTCTTCAACCATGATGCGCATGCGTCCACCCCTTGGACTCCCATCTTATGCGAATTGCCGAGTGTTTCGAGAAGTGCCGCTGATGGTTGAGCTCCACACTGTGGTCGTGAACGCTGGAATTAAACCACTGACAGTACCGTCGTCGTCCTGCGATGTGATGCCGTAGTTTGGGAGCGCATGGCGACACTCTCATCATTTGTGTATCTCCACAGGTTACACGAGATGAGGGTGCGCTGGACTTTGCAGGGCCTCGTGACTGCCACGTTCAAGGCGCTTTTGCACACGGCATGGCTTGAGCATGCTTGAGCTAACTCTATCAGCTCTCTATTTGTGACACATTGTAGCATGACATCAACATGTCACGTCATTAAAGCATAGCTCAAAGTGCTTCATGGTTCCATTTCCACTGCTGAGGTTGTCGCCAGGTCTCCGATACAGAAGGGTGAGGAGGCACAGCACTTCAGAGTATGGCAGGGCGACTGTCAGGCCTGCAAGAACGTCGAGGGACAGGGCGACCGATCCTGTGCAATAAGAATTTTGAGACCTGCAGAAACCGTTCTTCGACTCCTGGGCAGATTCGGATTTGCTACGGTGGCAATCCGTTCCGGCCGGATGGCTGTGGCGGCGATTGCACTGGGGACATGGCCGGCGACTCGGGATGCCGAAGCTGCGCTGAAACTCCACCGTAGCTCACGAATCACCGCCTCGCTGGCGTCACGAATCCTCAGCCGCAGGCCTTGACCAATGCGGCGTATTTGCAGCGATATGGCTTCGTGGATGACTCTCGGTCATTTCTCTGCCTGCTTGTGTGGCCTGGTGGTGCAGGATCTGAGAGCTCAAGAAGCGCCAGTGTGACTTGCTTTCGAGGATTGCTTCGGCACGACAATGGTGGATGGCAAGTCCCACCGGCGAAGTTACATGACATGGGTTCTCTGATAGCTGCACACCAGCCACCGTCAGAAGTCTTAGCAGCCTTGGCATGTTGTCCCTGCGTCAGGTGGCTGGTGAAGCCGGAGTCAGAGCCCATCCGCGAAAGCCTGGTGTCGACCTCAATTGGCGCGCCAGGTCGTTTGTTGCAATAATAAAGACTGTCTGAGCATAGGCCGAAACCAGCGCAGAAGAGGACGAGAAGCTGTTGTCCGATAGGCATGCAGCTTAGATCCCGTGTCCCATCGCTGCAACAAAATGTGCGCACAATGTACAAAGTGTGCGATCGGAGTGGCACGGCATGGGCCCATCTCCCACTTCAGCTCGCTGTCCATTCCGGCCAAAACCGCCATCCAGTCTTCCCAGCCATGGCTTAGCAGGGATGTGGGGACTACAGGGCGAAAGAAGTTACTTGCCATCGAGGATGAGCTGGCTGCATTGGGAGAGACTGTCCGCACAAGCGAAGTGATGTGCATGTATTGCATGTATGAGCATGGGTGCATTTGTGGCAGGTTCCGGCGACAGCTTAAGATTGCGCTCAAGGCTCAGCAAGAGGCACAGCAGAGGATACGGATGTTGACATGGCAAGCATATTGCCATCAATCATGGAAGCGTGGATTCTTTCAAGCTTTCCCTGAGAAAGAGGCGGACGCCTTAAAGGCCAAAGCAGAGGCGGCCAAGAGCGAGGCACTTTCCACGTTGGAGAGTCGTGCATGCATGGACAACTCCAGACCGGGTGATGCCTGGCCGCTATTAGTCGCTTAGTCCGGTTCAATTGTGACTGTCTTTGGGGCTTCTGGAGGAACAGAAGCAGGCAGAAAGAGAAGCAAAGGAGAAGGCCGAAGAGGAGGACGCCCTATCTCGCCCTCCTCCGTTGATGTCATAGAGCTCCCGACATGTCGCCTCACAAGAACCTCAAAACGGCATTGTTGCACTTTGCTCCATGGTGCGATTTAAGTCTTTCCCAGTCTCTCATTTACGTGCCGGGGCGGAAGCCCGGCAGTCAGGTTCCTCCGTGCGAATTACAGTGGTATACGGTGGTAGAAAGGGCTTGGAGATGTCCCGGCAGTCCGCCTCGTCAGCCGCAGGCCCGGCTAAAGGAGGCGAACGCGGAGGAGGCACGCAAGCAGCTCTTTGCAGCCCTGGAGGCCAGGCGATGGTCGATCTTCAGCCAGCGGGTAGTTGTCGAGCCACGTCAGAAAATTTCCTGAGATGCTGTCGATGTGGTGAATATTGCGCTTTCGCTGCAGGAGAAGTAAAACAAGGTGGCTTTCTCCCTTCGCCACCAAAGAAAGACTTCACTTCACGGGCTGACACGCAAAAAAACAGCTGCCAGTCTCGTCGCTCCAGGACACGTGCGTCGAAGCTCCGGCAGAGCGCGTCGTAGTTCCGGAAGCTGTAGACAGCGGCATTTATGTGGCTTTCACCGGCTCTCACGTTTGACATTGAAGCATTGCGGTAGGCGCTCCTTATCCCCATGGCAGATGGAGGCCTTCCTTTGCAACTAAAGCCTTACTAAAGCTCGATCTTCTTGGAAAGAGCCTTAGTCACCAACATCCAATGCGCTGGATGGTGGGGCGCATGGCAAGGCATGGATGATGCTGATGGGGGCACGGGGAAAGGGGGGCGGGCATGTTGCACGAAGCCGCGAGGTCCCGTAGTCGTTTGCCCTCGAGCAGCCCTCAGCGAGAGAAAGACCGGGAGCCATGGCGCGGCTGGAGCTGCTGAAACCCTCGAGTTTGGAGGCAACACACCTGTTGAAAATGTGCAGCTTCGTCCTTCGCCTGGGGGTGCTGGTCCTTGTTCTGGGGGCCGGAATGCTCTTGCTTCTCACGCAAGACGAGAATACCCTGGGGATCCGCAAGGCAATGAGCGGCATTGTGTCAGACAGCACCTGTTTCTTCCTCACAAGCAAGGACACTTTGCTGAGTTTCCTGAGGAGGTAGCACGTGGGCTTTTCTTGCTGAGAGGGCGTCTCGGGAAAGATGGGGTCAGCGCACATTGAATCATAGATTTCCGGTCAGTTCAGAGCTGAGGATTATGGTTTCAGCGCGCTTGACATGGAGTTGGGTTCTATCAACATAGGAGATCGGACATACTGTGGAGTGACTGCCGATGCTATTGCACAAGAAGTCGAGTCGGTGATGGAGACGCTGCAAGAAAACGGTTGGAAGGAGAGCTGCTTGCCGAATCTCCTCCCGGGGAGTAGCGACGGCTGTCCCTGCAACCGCGACAGCCAGGCTTGCCCTCAGGCCGAAACGCTGTCCGTCGTACACCTGATCCAGTTCTTCAGTGCAATGATTCTGGGTGGCGCGTTCGTCTGTGAATCCTTGCTTGTCTTGGGCATCAGCATGTATTCGCCGAAAAATAAAGAAGACGGCGAAGAAGACACCTCAACATGTGGCACCACAGGAGACTTCATGCTAAAGGAGGCTTCCTGTCTTGGAACGAAAGGACGAAAGGGCAGTAAGATATGTTGTCGAAGAAGTTGGCACGACACTGATGTTGTGGCTTTTCGGTCCCCTTGAGTCCTAATCACGTTTGTAGATGTGGGGTCTCCTTCACATTTTCTGTCGCACATCTGTGTAGCTGCACTCATGATCACTCCTACAGTACCAGAGCACGCAGCAAGAATCCAGGCCGGACCGAAGTGTGCAGGCTCAGGCCACGAAGTTTACACAAGGGTGCAGGCGATTAGCAAAAGCCTGTTTGTATGTATGTATGTATGTATGTATGTATGTATATATGTAAGTATTCCGCATGCATGTGTACCGACATACATATTTGTCTCCCGTCTCTCGCTCCTGAGGTTTGGTCGTACCTGCTCTTGACTGTCCTGCCACAGTACATACTCCAGCCCATTGGCTCGGTACAAACGCTGCCCAAGCCGGCAGACAAGGCTGCTATATTCAATACATTTTGTCGTAGGCACTTCCGGTAGGTGCAGGAACTTATCAATTAGGTACAAGGTCCGTTCATCAGAGTTCGCAGCGAAACAGTTTTGGAGCTTTGGCCTCTGACACGTTTTCGGCATGTGCCAGGTCCTTCTGATTCGGACCCCTCCCGACTACTTCTTCCTGATGTTGTGGAGCTTCTTCATAATCCTGCCCTTGGTGACCCTGCTCTTGTGCTATACCTGCCTGTGCCAGTGCAAGCAGAAGGTACAGGGTGAGCAAGGCAAGAAAGCTGGGTTGGGTTGCTGCTTCTTCGCCAGCCTGGTCCTTGCCTTGCCAGTCGCCATCTTAGTACCGATTGGCTACTTCCGGATGGGAACTTACTTCTTCGTTGACTGGAGCTTCGAGTTTTCCTTTGGCCTCTCCTTCGTGATGCCTGCCATGATCGCGAAGCTTCTGCTGCTCATGCTTGCAGTTGTTGACACAATCAACTTGGCATTGAAGATGTTCCGTTGCTGGTTTCAGCTATACTTGTGGTTGCCAGGTCAAGCTAACTCAGAAGATATCCTTTGACTCTGCTTGCAGTTCGCAAGAGCACTGGAAGTTTTAGCAGTCTGCCTACGTACCTGAACAGGCAAGAGGAAGTACGGCCAATATCTCTAGACTCTAGACTGTCGGAGCTTTTCGCTCCAGGTGCAAGGCGGTGGTGAAGCGGGACAAGGCCCGACTGCGTTGCTCATCTTGACGTCTCCGACTACGACAGTTTCATAATATGGGCTCGTTAACTTCATAGCTCCTCCATCGTAGATCAATGCCGGCTCCGACTGCCAACACAGACGCAGTACAGTGCCACCAAAACCAGTACGTGTTCCTGTAGGTTTTCACAGGCCGACCACCATCGGACCAGAAATCACGGAAACTGTCCAATCCCAACCAGCGTGACTGTTTTCTTGTTTGCGTGTGTTGCTGCATGCTTTGCCAGTATCTCATGTCCGAAACATGCGGAAGACAGTGTCGCAACACTGAGGTTCTTACGTCAAGAGTGTATTTGTTTGGTTGCTGAGGCCGCGAGGACCGGCCGGCAAGCCCACCCGCCCGCACGCTCCGTGCCGCATGCTGTAGGGCGATTCTCGTCCCACGACAGGCATGGTTGGATGGAGGGGTCACCGAAGGTGTTGAATAATCCAAGCCGTTGCCGCTCCCAACTTGATAAATCGCGCTACTGCCACAGTCCCATGCTCATGTTGACCTCCAACTCGAAGGAAGTCTCAAAAGGAGCAGCAGGGTCAAGCTATTCATTCGGCTTCACGGGCTTGTCGTCGATCTAGTCTCGAGAACGCCGTTCCCGCGGAAGTCGTGCGACTATCGTTTCTATGCGCAGGAGGAGTGTTGGTTCTGTTAGTATACAAATTGTACACACCTATTATCTGTTCGGTTTATCTATGCCAAATTAGTATGTACGTGTGTATACATACATCATCATACATCCATCCATACATACATACATACAGACATACATACATACATACATATGTATATCTTATACATACTGTATTATTTTACATACGTGTATGTATGTGTATATCTTACTGCATGATGTTACATCTTGTACCTTTCTGTCGCCCGACTAGTACACCAGAGCTGCTGCCTACTCAGCATTGTGCATTCGGTGTGTTGTTGTATACCACGGTGGGCTATTGCGGAGTGTACGCCTTGAGGTGCACATGTCACAATCATTTGAGATGTCAGGTATATGTTTATCTGTATGTGTACAATTACAGATGCATGCATGCATGCTTGCTTGCTTGCTTGCTTGCTTGCTTGCTTGCTTGCTTGCTTGTCTGTTCGTTCTCTGGTATGTGTAGATTTAGACATGCAACAGGAGCTTCATGCCGTTAGCACTGTATTTGTTCGCACTCGGGTCCATCCGACTGTATTGCACACCGTGGTATAGGACAAGGTCTTATGAGAAGCCATCATATCAGTAGGTGCGAACCTCGAAAACATTGCAAATATTGCAGCTCAACATGTCTTGCTTACTGCATACAGGTACGTGCGGAGGCGGTGGTTTGTGGTTCATTACATGTCGTTGTCCTTTGCTGCATCTCCCGATGAAGCATTTAGTATGTTTATGGGTATCTCTTATGTGAAGTCATGAATTGCTCTTCCTGCCGCTTTTTTGTCAATTATTGCTGTCAGAGTTACAGCCTCTCCAGGCATCCATTGCTGGCGCAGCAGTATTGTGACTTCCGACTTGGGCTGAGTGGTGCGAGGGCTGTCGCTGCTCTTCCCGCGAGTCGGTCTTTCACTTTGCATCGCGGGGAACTTACCGCGAAGCGATGGGCTTCGGCTCGCTCCCTGCAATGAAGGCAGACCTGTTTGGAAAGGTGTGTCCTTGAACTTCTGTACTTTCCCCTTGATTGGTGCAGCTTTTGTGCCAAAGCTCTGCTGACCCGACTGAAGCCTGAGCAGGTATGATTTCAGCTTGGACAGATGTCTAAGCCTGTACGACCCTTTCGAACAACCCTCCAGGCTTTAATTGTCGTGGAAGAGCAGGCAAAGCCTCTCCTCAATCATCACAGAGCTGAAGATGCTGAGAATGCCCTTGTTGGTGGAGATGCAAGCCCTTAGAAAGACCTGATGGAGCTGGCACTTGCGTGAAGAAATACTGTGAGCATCTCGGTATGAGAGGCTGTTACAGGACCAGTCGCTAGATGCTATCTTGGACGTCGGCCCACATCCTGAAATCCTTCCCTGCATTCCTAGAGCATGTCGTGAGCAGGCCTGCAGAAGTGAGAGAAGCGGCGGCGCTGCGGTCTATTCTGGCATAGTGGGACAGCGGCTTTCCATGCTTGGGTAAGACCACCGTTCGAACATAAACGGGCGGCTGAACAGTTCAATTGCTCCATTGCTTCAGCACAAGTTCCAGAACTTGAAGCGTTCGTTCAGACTCAGGCTTTCTCCCCGGCCACATGTCGATCAAAGAAAGGAGCGTGGTGGGATCTTGCTGTGCCCCACTGAACTGCAGCGAACTGGCTTACTACACTGGTTTGGCTACAAGTAGAAGCCGTCTTGGACCATTCTGGCCGCATCCTCGAAGCAGTGACAAACCATCACAAGCCTGTACGGTTCAGCTATTGGCCGATGGCCAAGGATTTATTGCCCGCTCGTGAGGACTTTGCATGTCACTGCTTTATCACGTCTGGCTCGATGTCAAGCCTCGACACACATGCTTGTCGACTGTCTCAAAGTCTGTGTTGCTGTAGAGTCTTGAGCAAACTGCTTTAAGGAGCTCCGCAACATGAACGTCAGCATCAGCCCAGCCGCCAACAGTTGTGACTAGCTTCGACCGTAGACCCAAAATGCCCAAGGCTGCCTCCCGAACTGTACACTATACACCGGGGTGAACTCAGACTGCATTGTCGCGGCAAAAGCCTTGGTTTTCGCCCACCAGAGCACCTCAGATTCTTAGATCCACCAGACCAGAGTCATCAGAGCCTCCCAGCTGGGCGCTGACCCGTCCATGGCGGTGGCAGCTTCTTCGGCAAGGAGGGCGCTCGTCAAATGCAAGTCTGGCAAGAAGGGAATCAGCGAAGCTTCGGATTGCAAACCAGAGCTGCATGAGTCATCTGTAGTCTACAGACTGCAGGACGAGAGTGCGTCATGGATGGAGTGTCGCCTTTTTGCGGGGTCCATGTGCTGATTACCACCACCCCAGAGTTGTTTGCAGGAGGACATGATGTGCTGGCATGCAATTCTGGCAGGGGCCTCGAGCAAGCGACATCAAATTCAAAGACCCGGTGCTGGTGCGTCCAGGATAAGAAGTCGAAAACGACTGCATGTGTGCATCTATGTGCATAATGCTTGTATGTGTGTGTATATATACATATACACGCATACGTGCTTTGTATATGGTGTATGCAAATGTATTACAAAGATGACGGAACCGACTGCACAAGGGTTGGCAATTTGAGCAACGAGAGACACATCTGGAGTATTAGTCATAAGCCGCTTGACGAGCAATAGCCGGGCTCGTGGTTCACTACGTACCAGAAGAGAACAAGAAACAGACAGAGAGAGAGTCCCTGAACAAGAACTCGACGCCAGAGAGACTCACACTTCTACAGAAGAACCGAGACGACCCAGAAATGCAGAAGCAGCTGCAGCACCACGACCATTTGCATGCATGATCTGCGTTACTGAATCGCTTTCAGTCGTGACGGGAAAGTCGGACGATGTCTCGTGGCAATTCTCCGAGTATTTTGCAGGTGTGCTTGCTATCAGGTCGAGGCTGGTGTTTCTCACCTGCGCGGTCATTCTTGCCGCCTGCATCCTATCCGAGGACAGGTCGGGTCGTGCAATTTCTCCATCCCGTCGTTCCTGAAATTCTAGCAAACGGCACATCATTATAGGAGTAAGGATGAGGAGGAATACGTGCGCCAAAAAAATGCCAGAAATCAACAACGTACAGATGAGTCAGACGACTGATGGAAGCTGTTTTGGCGTGAACCAGTGTTATAGCATACAATTTTGGTAAGATGAGTGATACTGTTGCTGTGAACCCCGGCTCTTTGGCAAGGATAACACCAGTAAGCTCACATAAACCGATTGACTTGACCATATGAATGGCTAGGGCCCTTAACTCTGTGAACGGCTGGTTGAACCTGGTCAATCAAAGGTTCCGAACCACTAAACATTTTCTGAACCACCAAATCACTCGAGTTGAGCTTCCGGCGGTTCAAGGGCCTTCCGATGTCTCAACACGGAAATGGAAGTTGTTCGAGGGTAGCACCCGCGCCTCATAGAATCCAGTTCAATAAAAACAGGCTACGTTCTCTTGATCCCTTTTCAGTACAGCCGAGTACCAGCCTTCCCCAACGAAGCATGAGGAGCTTCTGGCCAGCTTCGACCGGAATCCTGTGCCACAGGCTTGGAGATTCGGAAGCACAACCATATTAAGTATTAAGATAATAAAGTTTTAAAGCAAATGTACTAACAATCATAATTATCATTCTTCTGCTAAGAATAATAATGACAATAGAATGTCAGTGTCCGAGACCTGGGGTGGGATCCCGGCCAGGAAGCGATCGATCTACCAGAAGGAGCGATGCTCAATCAGTTTTGTGGCACACGCGGCTTTGGGCTCGTTGAGAAGATACAGAGATTGTCGTCTCCTCGGCGTAAGACAAGTCTAAGTGTCCAGCTCTTTGGGAATCCACTGATTCCATTGCGCTTCGGAGATGCACGGGCACCACACAATCGCCCGGCAAGCTTTGCAATCAGACAGCAAAACGAGTCACCCTCAGCTTACCCGTTGTTGCAGCTGGAACTCGCCTAATTCAGAAAGATGCAGAAGTGTCGAGCTCTCGAAAAGTGTTCGTATGTTAGGACCAAAGGAGCTCGAATACAAGCCCGCAAGCGTTGGCGCCGGTAGCTTAAACCACATGCAAATGCATGCATGATCACTTCAGTTTCCACTTACGGCTTAGCAGATCTTGGACCATGTCTCCGCGAGGTCTTCGTCGGCAACTTCGTAGGGCAGAACAACCAGACTTCGGCGCAGGCCTCATTGCTGAATCCTTTCCCGCCCTCGGGCTTGGGTCAAGGTAGCGAGCAAACATTGGTCGCACTGAGGCCAGCCATGGCCGTGCCAGGGCAGTGATGACATCCCACCCTACTGCAGCCGCACGGTGCCCGAGAGAGATCTGGAGTGAAGGCGTTCTCATCGCTTCGTCTCCAAGGCAGCGCGTGTCTCAAGCCTGGCATTGACCTTACTGGCAACGAGGCCTGCGATGGATAGGTGGTCGGAGACAAGCACGGTCAAGGCTTTTACTTTGTGTATTTTCGGACAATGAGTTCACTTGGCAATGACACGACTCGACCATAAGTGCGCGGAGTGAATCGAGAGGCCTGGGCTTCATCTGCTCGCACCCTCCCACTCCCGGTCCACCACTTTAGTTTGCAAGCTCGTTAGAGCCGTTACGGACGTCGCCGCTTGTTTTGCTCGTGGTAGTCAGTCATGGCTTTGCTTTTTGAATGCTCCCTGCATCTCCCTGCGCATTCTTGGAGCTCGCCGACGGAGAAATGCTGCTACAGTCGCACGGGCAACGTGCGAAATCAGTGCTTCGCCGGTTCCCTGGTATCCGCCCATAGCTTGCTTAAAACATGTGGTGCTTCGATATGTTTCGGCGGAGCAGACAAACCTGGCTGCACTGCGTCATTGCTCCCTTGCTGTGTTCTTGGAGGGTCGGTCGGATCCGCAGAGCTCAAGAAGCGCGAACGACAATCCGCGCACCAAGTTTAAATCCCCAACCAAGAATGCAGGGAACCCCCGTTCGGTCCCCTGAATTGCAACACCTCTGCACGGAAGTTGGAAGCTTCAGCTGAAATGCCATAGCATCCGCAGATCATTTCAATTCAAAGACATATGGGCCCCACGGACATAGAATTTGCATCTCCTCCAAACTCAATGCCCTTTTTATGACCCTTTCGCCCAAGTATGGATTGCTTGTGAGAACAGGTGGTTTGACATCGTTTGATTATGACAACGTACTCCAACAGCAAGCACACGCATCTCCACTGTGCAGGGTAAAGGCAATCACTTGTCGTACTGGTTCCCGTTCCGGATACGTATACTATAATAATATACTGTAGTACACTTCAATATAAGATTCAGATAGTTTGATTCAGGAGCCGCCGCCCGATATGGAGCCCAAGCCGCGAGGTACGGAGCCGTGGGCATCAAAAACAATCAGACAAGAAGCTAATTCCAAATATACCGGAGTGTCATGCAATGTCATCATACATGCACCTACTCACGCACAGAAAGCGATGTGTATATAGTATACCCATACATGCATGCCAGCATGTACGTATGTAGGTATGTATATTTGTATATATGAATGTCCGTGTTTGCTTCCTGGTGTGCCATGTATGCATATACACATATACGCAGCGAACTTCGTTCGTCTCAGGCCATGCTAACGTAGGTTTATACATGGCAGAGTGTTTCGCGAGAGATGTGTACAAGACTCGAAGACTGCATCGACTTGTGACGACTCAGGAGAACCAATGTTGACGTGTGCCACACTGCAGTGTGTTCGAAGCGCAAACATTGATTTTGGCATGCCCTGGTATCGCAAAGTGCCATTCATGTGCAGTGGAACAGCATAACTTGTGATGCGCTAAGGCATACGTCCATGTCGTGGTGCAGCACATCGCTGTTTCGCTGCGTGTGTCTTGTACTTGTGTCATTGTCATTGTACATATGCGCACTCAGCGATATTGCCAAAATACCAAACGACAAGAAGCAGATTTTAATTTTTATGGTGATGCTGATGATGTTGATGACACCTGTGTGTGCGTGTGTGTGTGTGCGGTGGGTGCATCGCCCCTGTTGTGCAGGACGACCAAGAACTGGTGCTGCGAGGACGGAGCCATGTGCCACAAGATTTTTCTGTTGCCATGATCCCATGCACGGCATAGATGGCATAGCATGTGTTGGAAGCTTTGCCCGTTGCAAGACATTTTTCGGCTGCCCCGTAGACAGCACCCTGCCTTCTGCAATGGCTTTCTGCATGGGTCATCGATCTTCTCCAGCAACTGGATCGTTGTTTATCAGTGGTTCAGCCGGACATTTTCCGGTGGCATGCGCAGTTTCCATTGAAATCTGTCCGGCTGACACACCGCAACTCAGGCCGTGCGCAGCAGGCGGGATATTTGCCGAAACGGATGGAACTGGAGTGCGGTGCTTGTCCATCAACTCGAGAGCCTCGCAGATGAGGTCGCGCTTCGTGGTGCCAGCCCTCGCAATATCGCTTGGCTGCGTGCATCTCGTCGGTAGCAGATAGAAGTCATGGGTCGGCAGACAGGTGGTGCGCTTTCCGACTCTCTGGTTCATGTCATCGTAAACTGGCAACTACAAAAGTATCACAGTGTGTAGCTTTGACGTAGCCCGCAGGCACAAGCTTGTCAAAGCTGTTCGTGCTGAAGCGCTGACGTCTCACTCTTCAGGCTTGCCAGACAGAGATGGGCCCCAGCTGTGGACTCGAATACTCATCGAGGCAGGGTATGGAAGCATTGGGGCCTTTTGCCTAGCCGCGTTTGTTGATGGTGGGTGGCAGCTCAGGTTTGGTTTGCCTCAGTGAAGTGAGAATTGTAATTGAGGGGGGCGGGTGGAAAGCGGGCCGCTTCTGATGAACACACAGAGTCTTGTGGCCGACTGTCAGTATGAACAACACATGGGTGCCCGGCTTCCTTCAATACAACACTTGTGCTGTTACGTCATAGACTTCTGCCGCTGGGATGCGGCCCATTCATCGGACCCAAGTGCTCTCCGCGGGGACCCGTCAAAACGTAGATTTGTCCTCTCTAACCAGCTTTGTGCTGCGGCGAGGAGCGTTCACGGAGGCAGTCTCGCTCCTTGGCTGCACAGCCAACTCTGCACATGGCGAATGCAGAGCGATTGCGTCGACCCTCTCCTTCAGGTTCAGGCGGCACGGGCTCCATGACTGCAATACACCGATGGCATGTGTCTTCCGTGCATGGCGAACTCGAAGCAAATGAGAGTCTGCTGGCAGGCATTCTGATGCGGATTATCCCAGAGGGCCCAGCATCTTTCGCGGAGAGTCAGCTGATGAAATGATCAGGCCTTCGCCGTGCCAAATGAAACTCTTCACACACATCTCAGCACCCATGCAGAAGTGTCCGGAGGTGGTACCAGCCCCCCGCGCGTGAATACTCCCGACGAGAACTCATTGCAGATCGCCTCGTGAACTTCGGAGGCCGGGGTGATCTGGAGTTCTACTGCTGCTGCTACTAGCTATTTCCTACTGCCACTTTGTAGTACTACAAATACCAGTGCTACTGTTACCACCACCACTACCACCAGCACCACTGCCACTACTACAAATACCGCCCTTACCAGCACCAGCACCCTCTTCATCACCCCGACTGCTGTTCCTAGTGCTGCTGCTGTCGCTGCTGCTGCTGCTACCACTACTACTACGACGACGTACTACTACCTAATACTAGCTACTATTAACTATTTACTACCACCTACTACTACCTACTATTACCGACTACAAAAACCATTGTACTGCCTCCTGAATACTGACAACTGACTAATAACTACAGATACTACTACTATTATTACTACTAGTACTGATACTGTTACAGCTTCTGCTTCTGTTACAGTTACTACTATGACAATTATTGGGGTGGATCACCCTCGTTTGCACCGGTTTGTCTTCGAACAAAGTGCGAAAAGCATGGTCGCGCCGATACTTTCGCATGTTAGCATTGTTCAGCATGAGTCGCAGCACGCGAACAACCCGGGCTGAGGCGTCACAGCAGCGCTGCTGGCAGCACCGCTTCTCGTCCTTGTGTCGCGTGCAGGCAGAGCTGAGCAGAGCTGAAGTTGATTCGTTCGCATCTTCCTGGGCATTCCCATGTGTTCTGCAGGCGGAGATTCAGTGGCGGCAGTCTCAGATGCACACGAAACCGTAAGATCACGAAGGGAAGATGTTGGTGAAACATCCCAGTCTGTGAATGGAGCCATGGATGTGTTCAGGAACACTCGATTGTGTCTTAGAGGCATGTTTTGCCTTGCTTCCGAGGTAAGACAAGCTGGGTTGTGTGTTCACGGATTATGCAGCTCGGTAGCAGTTTTCTGCGTGCTGCTGCTCTGCAGGGCGGATCTTTCTCATGCGGGTACAGCCAGTTCTGAACGAGAGACGAAGAGATAAACGTTTGTCCAAACAGCCCCGGCATAGCAGTAGCTGGTTAGAAATCGCAAGCTCCCGAAGATGGCCATCACACCGCCAGTTCAGAAAACAACCGGTTCAAGCCCTCTTCAGGGCACCCACTTGCATCACAAGCATTCAAGCTCACGGCTTGATTGAAAGCACCTCATCGTTTCGCCTGCCGTCTCGGTCAAGACTGTGGGTTTGGCGGATTTGCACCGAGTGCTGCATGCATGAGCGATCGAAGGCATGATTCTCATGTTCAGCTGCTCCGCCCTTTTCCATTACTGGGCTCCTCGGCATCCACTTCGACAAACATCTGCAGACCGCTTTCGCCGTGTAATAACTTGTGAGCTGTGTCCCTCTCTAACGCATTCTAACGCACTTCAACCAAGGCCTGGGATGGATCGTGTCAACGCTTCCTTTTGATGCTCCGTGGCTTTCGAGCCAGATGGTGTTTGCACAGGGCGTGCTTTTGCTTGTCGATGCCCTGAAAGCTACAAGCATGCCATATGCCAGTCTAGCTTGTAAGCACCCGGTGTCGAAAGTACCTTCTTGTGGCCACGCATTGGAACCATGGACCCAACTCCTGAGGCTTGACCATATCGGAATCAACTCCATGATTGCCGGCTGCTACACTCCTGTTATGAAACTCAACAGCAGCGTCAGGGGGACCATCGCCTGCTAGCAATGTAATTCACGAAGAAACCAGTTGACTGTGCTTGTCTTGCGATCAGTTTTTGGTTTGGAAGCATGCAGCTCAACGCTGTCCAAACCAGCTTGGAAATACTCTGCGAGCGGTGTCACTGGCAAACCCAGGATCCATTGCCGCTGCTATCGTCTTCTTCTTTTCGTCTGGGCTTGTGCGTGACCCAGTTTGTTGCTGTTTTGAGAAATGGCTTGGTGGCAGTTCTGCTCGTCCTACGCCTTGCTGCGCATGACGCTGATTGAGGTGCTGTGGTCGGCTTCGTTGGTGAAACTATGTTGCTCCTTGGGCAGCACAGCACATTGACCCTCGTTCGACCCTCCCGCACACTTCGGTTTCGACCAGCAAGTCGCGTCTCCTTGGTTGGCGTAGTCTCTAGCGATCTGCATTAGCTCGCGTAAAGCATCGACGAAGGTTTCTGGAAGGGCCGACCGCAACGAAACGACATCCTTGACAGACCAGTGGAGCTCTGAGGGATCCTCAAACTCACCTGCCATACTCACTTCAGAGACACATTCCTACGTACCAAGTATTACGACTACGCTTGTCCAACGAAAGTCATGTCCCCGGTACTGCAAAAGTTTATCTCCCAGCTGTGGCTGTGGAGAGTCGACTTCATTCCCAGCCCCAGCACAATCGCCTCGACGGGTCGAGTCCTTTAGTGAAGCGACCTTACAATTATAACAATAGTTGTTATTAGTTAGTAATAACATCATTACTGTTATGAGAGAAGTAAGGAGATCGCCTCCCTAGCGGTGGCCATCTCAGTGTAATCTAGGAGAATCCAGAACATGCTGAGAGAAAGTCAGTATGCCTCGACATCCTTGATGGTCCATGATGCCGGCTGATTCAGCTATCATTGACAAATGTCATGCTCATGATATTTCGTCCTGTTCCCTCACCAGGTGACTATGAAGAACATCGGTTCATGTTGGTTCTTGTATGATGGCGTTCGGAAATAAGGCAAACGCTTGATCAGACAATGGCCACGGCTCAGATTAAGCCAAGAAGTTCTAAATGCTTTTCTAGACTGACTGAATTGTTTGTTACTGGTTCGTACTTTGGCAAGTACACTTGCATCTTTCAGCAAGCTTGACACCATGCCTCATCTTAAACAATTACATTATTCCGCTCGTTAAGTTACTTATTGTTCTGTCTTGTGTCATGCTTTCTTTTGTGTTCTTTCTTTTCTTTCTGACTATCTGTCTTTCACTCTCTCGCTCTCTCTCTCTCACTCGCTATAAATCTCGCTCTCTCTCCTACCTACGCTGATACGGCTGCGCATGTCCCGGATTCAATGTTTTGAGAACGGCAAAGGTATATTGGATGGAAGCAAAGTGTCCAACTCGACGAGGAAGTAGAAGGTGGCAGCCGGACATGTTCGCCCAGCGTCGAGCAGCAACGTCGTATTTAGATATCTGCGGTGTCAGTGCTGTCCGAGTTGTACAAAAGGCGGACGCATGTCCAGAGCAAGTTATCGTCCCATCATGCTGCACACGGCCGCGACAGGTGGTGTTGACGTGATGTTTCACCCCATCCGTTACCTGGCGCTACTTGGCACGCAAGCAAAGGATGAAAGGACACAGGCAGCGACTGCAATCCGCAAGATGCTGGAAGAAGAAGCAACGTAGCAACGGCTAAAGGTTCCGACACTGTACTAGAATTGCTAGAGCAAGCCTCATGCCAACATGGCAGTCGGATCGAATTTGATTTCGGCGATGTTCGAGAGGCAAACAAGGAGAAATCGATTCGGCGACGACAAACGAGTTGCATCCGCTGACTGTTGCACCGATCTAAGGATGGGTTGGTCTGTCGTCGGCGTTTGGAGCGAGGTCATGAAATACGTCTCGACACGGGGCAAAGCTCTCATGCAACTTGCCTGCAATTGGCTTTGGCTGCGTTCTTGTCCATGTAGCTAGGGAATCGGCTCGGGTGTATCACTGCGGTCCCCTCGACACGAGCTCACCAAATCCAGCAATGCCCATGGTGGATGCGTGCAGCTAGGTTTGAAGACCCGTCTAAAGCCAGCAGATCCTGCTCTAGCACAAGTTTGCCAAATCTGTTCGTCTATTCTGATGTTGCAGCTATCACTACTGTGACACCTTGGGACAACGATGATTCTATGTGTTCAGGTCACTGGGCTTAGTTCGTAAAACGGTTGCCGTGTCACTATATACGAAATCACAAGCTTCAGTCGTATCTGCAGCAGTCAGGTGTTTGTTCTGGCCGCAGCTCAACTTTGCAGTGGATCCGGACAGAATAGGCTTGTCATTAAACAGAATCTAGAACCAAGATTCGACGAAGGATGCCGCACCATGGAGACAAGCCTAGAAGTCCGAGACTAAGGATTGCAGGTGGCTTGAGACGCCTGTTTGCATTGGTCACACCGACTGGCATGTTTGGGTTCTTGGTGTTTCTTGATGTTCTTGCAGCCAGCTCAGGCTTCACGTTGGGCGTGCCATTCCATTTGTGTGCCGTGGGAAACAAGCAAGCTATGACCATCTGTGTCTTCCGAACTTAAGTATGAAGTGGAATTATTAGATAGATTCTCCAGCTTGAAACCCTTACGAATCCGGAGGTGCCAGCGTGGAATTTCACCACGCGACGTGGCATTTGTTCGCGCTGGCCTTAGAAGCAAATCTGTGAAAGTTGCGCATGGCGGCAGTTCTGAGGAAACCCATTCACCAAACGAAAGCACTGCGACAGAGCAATAAAATGGCAACAGGTGTTACATCATTACATCCACTGCTCGACATCGCTCGATAGGCTTTGCAAGGACCAGAAGTATCTACCAGCTTTTCAGCGCAGAATGCCCGATCCGAGCAATTTGCAGAGCATCCCATACTGCATTCGTTGATCATTTATGCACCCTGCATTGAATGACACGAGTCGGCCTATCAATGACTCACGTGTAGTCTTCCCCAATGGCTCCAAGTCACGATAGCACGATCAAAGCCTTCCACCGTTTGACGAGGTCTTCATTGGCTCGGCCTTTATGTACTCCGTCTGCCTCTTCGAAATTGCCGGAAACAGGCAATGGCACAACTGGCTACCAAAAACTTCTGTATCTCTCCAGCTTCGGGTTGTCGGAACCTGTTTTCAATTCATGTCGTTTGTTACCAACATCTGTGGACTTTGCATGAGAACCAAGAACCATCCAAAGTGGAAAGTCCTAGTACACCAACTCTTCACCTATTGGAAACATCTCATACTGTCAAAACGCTTGCACGGACCCGGGCCTTGACATCTGCAATGCAAGGCATGCGAAGCTTGTGGACGCAAGTACCTCGCCCTTCGCGACTGGATGAGCGTCATTCGTTGCGCACGTAGGGCGAGCTGAAGGGCGGAGTGATCAAACATGGTTGGACAGGTTGGAGATTGCAGAGTGGAAAGCCTTTTGGTTTCAACCATGGCGCAGATGATGATTAGCTTTGTCTGAATAGTGTTTACTTCCAGGCGCAAAGACAAAGAGACCGGTAGCGAGCTACCAGTGGTTTAGCCCACTGTGCCGCAGTTTTGCTTGCCTCACTGCATGAATGAGAATGAATGCAAAGCCGGAGCACAATCAGCAGAATGCTGGCAGCAAGTTCTTTTGTCTGCTCAAAGAGAAGCCCAGTCCGCTAATCATAGCAACGTGCCTGACCAAGCCTCTGCTCTAGTGTCAGTTGCTTCCGGTGCGTATTCTACCCAATGGTGGGATGCATGGCAAAGTTTCCAAGCGTGAAATGTATGCAGCTGCAGGAGACGCATGAGCCTACTATGCAAGGACTCGCTGGCTGGGAAGCGGTTGTCTGAAGACTTCTCCTTCCCTGCCTGGCGATGTTCCAGTAGATGAAGCATAGGTTGCATCACGACTCGCACATGTACTCTGGCCGTAAAGCCAGTTGAAGCGACATGCCCTTGCACAATTAGGGCACGAAGTTACCCCAAGGGAGACTGCTGTGAGATGTCTTCTGCAGCACGATGATGTCGAGCGAAGCAGAAAGGGCACAGCGGCACACGGAGTCGTGACTTGACCGTGCAGTCTGGTTGAAACCCTCTTCTGACAAGATTACCCTGGTCGACATCACAAGCCGTGTGCCAACCAGTTTTCTCAGACAAGTAGGCAACACAGAGTGTCTCGGACCATGCAGGGCAGCGGCTCCTGGTGACCATGGCACACTCAGCTTCGCAACAGCGAGATGCCCTCTAAATTATTACCGTTGCGATATCATTGGTCTCGCTGTTCAGCAGGTCCGTGCTTCTGTGGTCATCGTAGGGCCCTTAGGGCAGCTTCGACGGGTGCTTGACCTGGCCCCCAACACTTGGGGCAATCCGGCTAGAGTAGGCCACGCTTGCTCTCTGCATGCTTTTTTCTTGGGACCAGGTGAACCTGAAGTGGAACACCTGCCTGTATGAAGCGTTCTGCTGCCATGTCCTGCGGCCTTTTGAAGGGCATCAGACCAGCAGGCGAATACGTAGTACATTCACAGCAGTTTGGACTAGACTTTAGAGATGTCTTCTGATGCAGTTCTCGTCTTGATGCTGTTAGGGTGTTAGCTATACCACTGCTGGTCTGTAGGATTTTACCGCTCGGAGCCGCACAGACAGAGCCAACTTCTTTGGCTACCCCACTCTGTCGAGATCTGCGCTGAGCCATCTGATGGAATCTTTCGGGCTTTGCCTAGGATACGTAGAAATGTTCCTGACATTGCAGAGGGTCGGAGTTGTTAGGGCCGGTCTCAATGAGAGCTAGCACTTTGATCGAAAGGGGCCGCGTTGTATCACAGACGATCGACAGGTGGGGGTGCAAGGTTGCCGTTGCTAGCTTCAAGTTGTTTCAAACCGGGCAGGAGTTGACCAAGAAGCGCCACTGAAAGGGGTCCAGGGTTGAAGGTCGGAGGTTTGCAATGTGTCGCGCCCTGGCCACTCCTGCTAGGAAGCTAAGCCAAGCGGCATAGTTCCCGGCGTTTGATGCCATTTTCACGTCTTCATGCCTCGGTCGGTGCTCGCGGCTTCTGGCTGCGAAACTGACATCGACCGTGGAATGCTGTCAGCTTGGAAGACCACGTGGCTCCCTACATGCGCTATGGTGAACAGCCAAGGCGCTCTAGATGGGATCGATCGATTGTCGTTCGGGCACCAAGCCCCGGGAGTCATGGGTGCGGAGGCGGATTCAGGACTGTCCTAAATGCGAGTTTGACAGATCGGGCTCGCAGCACAAGGGTTCGTCTATGAAAACGTGCTGGATCTGCTATCCGGGGCCATGCCTAAGACCAATGTATCAGAGCGTTCCGTGCGGTAGAGAAAGTGGGGGGCGCGTGCTGCGCTGGCCCGGGGCTGGTGCTTTGGTGGGGAATCGCAGTGGGAGGCCTGGACGTGACGGGCGACGGTGCCGTGATGGCGCTTGGTCAGACTGCCAAGGCCACAGCCCACATGGAAGGGAGAAGATGTAAACTCGCTGGGCATGAGGTGCTGGAGAATACATGTCCCAATTTGCGTACCATCATGCAGGCCAAGAAGAACAGGGAAGATGGACAACAGCTGCAGCCTCAGACGTGCAGCATTTTAAGTGTGTCTGTTTGCTTTGTCGTTCGGCTGAGTGAGAAAAACGTCAAGGGATAGCCGCACACACTTGTTCTTCCAGGTGGTGTCGCCTGGAGTCCTTTCTGAAGTGTCTCGGACGGCAGTTAGGTTAGCCTGGTCGCACCAGGCAGCTGGGCACTTCTTTGATCGGAGTGCGGGAGAACGAAGGTGTGCAGACATATATTATATGTCATTAGGAAGCGATCTTGCAAACAAGGCTACACTCGTATTGCAATGCCAAGGGTCATAGTGACCATGTAACTTCGTAAGGCAGATGCCTAAAAGGGTCGTTTTCCGTTTTGGCCCAATCACGAACGACTAAGGACTCTGGATGGGTCAGCCGCGGCGAATGCCGAGGCTTGAGCAATTGAAACGCAGATCATGCAGCAGATGCACAGGCTGCTCTGAAGCCATGCCCATGAATTGTTCTGTTCAGAATCGATCAGCAGTGAGCAGCAGCAGTAGGGCTTGTTCGTCATCCGCAGTTCAGATACACGTGGTAGGAAGGTCTGAGGCAAGTAAAGTGCACGTGTGCTCATAGTTAGCAGAGGAGCCGGCCCCTGCAACTTCGCGACTGTCTGCCAACGGCAGGGGCCTGAGAGTTGTGGCAAAGCCCTGGATAAGTTCAAAGCTAACACGAGAATAACTCGGCCACGAACTTCTGGGCCTGAGCAACGAGTGTGCTGTACCTTTTCTTTTGTGCAACTTGTTTCCTACAGCCCAGGTACAAACCTCGAAGCCGAGCTTGTCGAAGACTTGGACTCATGCTGATAGCTTTGGGTCGGTGCTGGTGCCTTCTGCCCCAGCTTTCGGTGAGTGCTGCTAGAAGCGCAACAAATGCATTCACACCAGAGGTGTCACCCGATTGCGGCTTTTCGCTGCATATTGAGCTGGAGAAGGCCGGAGGATTGAGCACAAAGAATCTGTTGCATGAAGCGCAGGCGGTCGTAAGCAAAAGAGTGCAGATCAATGTCAAAGTCCCGAAAGCTCGCCTATACATAAGCCATATGTTTATAAGGCCCCTGACTCGCGAGATCCTCATGCTGAATATGATCGATCCATCCTAATGTCCAGAACGGAGCTCGTACGGGCGAAAGCCACAGGATCTTGTCCTCGCTTCTGTCCATTGGCATTTGCAGTACCGCGTTTGATTGCGAAAGAATCGACCAAGTCGCCGCGGCGTCGAAATGTAAGTCGCCCTCTTCCTCCTCCTAAGCTTCCCAGGAACTGATCTGACCATGCTTGCTGTTTGGCGGGTTCTCTGTGTACCATGTGCTCCACGGGTATGACAGGTGGATCTCGAGTATCTTGGCAAGAAGGCCGAGGGATCGTCGGCTGTCTTGTCTAGTGTAGATTTGCAGCATTTTGCAGCTGTATCATGTTACACCACAAATCGGAGGTACTGTGCGTCATGTCGTCTGGAGTGTCAGCGTACGAAGCATGTCTCATGCTGGAAGGTCGTGAACTATGCGGCCTGAAGCCTACTTCCAATTCTGGCCTGCAGGATGTTGAACTTCTGAGTTTGGGCGCCCTGTCCATGCATCACCCTAGCATCATCCTCGTGCAGCAGAGCTGTACGGATGACGCCGTCTCCAGACACTCCAAGCTCTTCTTCTGCATGACCCAGGTCCTCATGAACACGCTCACGTTGGTACAACTTCGTGGCTTCCTGTCCCAGATGCGGCACCACGAGGAGAGTTGCCGCTGCTTCGACATGCCTTGCTTGCATGCAACAGCATTAGTCAGCCGAATTCTAGGAACTCGGGTGGCGACTGCCTGAATTGGATTTCGTCGACTCAGCAGACTCGCTGCCCCTTCATGCTAGCAACTTACGGAACGCCTACAAAGACTTGCGATAGAAGATTCCTTGGCGCAAGTCCCGCGTTTAAACCCAGCGGATCAGAACTGGCCGGAAATGTATCGCAGGAGGAGCATGCTTCGGTGACGAAGCTCTCCGTTCTGGGGATTGCCATGCAGGCCACGCATCGTGACGACTACAGTACAGCCGCGTCATGATCCCGTGCCACTTTTAGTGAACGAGGCTCTCATGGATGCTTTCGATTCCTTCCTTCACCTGAGTGTGGCAGCGCCAGTGCAGGCCAAGCGACCACAGAAGTCGACCCGATTTCTCAGTGTTGCCATGTAGGTATTGCCCCTAGCTCCGTTGATGCTTGATGTCGGCCCGATCAGCCGGTGGTCCACACAATCATGCAAGCACACCGACACACTCTAAAATGCTGGGCTCCTGTACAATTTTGCTGCAGGCCTAGTGCCCTCTGCTGAGATAGTGCGCTTGAGATTGCTTCGGTCACTTAGTCCTGATTCCGTGGCAAAGGAGCCACTGACAGCAAGCAGATTCAAACCTTGGCAGGCACTGAACACGTATAACTTCGCGGTGGTCTCAATGCTCAAGTTTTCCCTTTTCGCTTTGGTTGAGGCCGGATGTGCCAAACTTCTGGCGTGTGCAGATTCGGCACATGTTCGAGGGATGTCAGCAGTTGACAGTTGAAGAGTGTCCACTTGCGCGGTGGTGTGTCGCACAGATGCCATTACATTGGCTTTTGAGCCCACCTGTTTCAAGCGGAGTCGTGTTGCCTTGATGCAGCCCAACAGACCTGCAGCATGTCTGATGGCGGTGCAGGTGCGCTACCTCTTGCTGATTTGGAGGCACAAGAGGATATCACGAAGATGCGCATGCCGTTGCAATACCACGTGGGCTGTCCCTGCATGCAGCGATGCTGCACTCGATCTTGGAGCGCATGCTTAGACGGTTCAGGCATCATCACCAGCACGTTTTCGCAGAAGGCCTGGGAGAGTGATGCTTCAAAGGACCGGGGTCTCACCGTGCAGTGATCAGCAGAGCATGGAGCCTCGAAGTGGAGCCCTCGAAGTAGCTTGGCGAAGTGCATTCTGGAAGTAGCACACCCTCAGAGCATCTCTCAAAGTACCTCAAGTGGCTTTCTCAAAGTGCGCTTTTGAGATTCAAATTAGCAGCCCTCGCCAGGTTGGGAGACTGTGCGGCAAGAGCTGTCGCGGGTGTGCCACGGGAAGAGACAGCTTGTTCTCGTCCTGCAACATGTCTAGGGCAGTACACTGATGCCGCAGCTGCAGTTTGTAGTACTTCCGCAGTCGTCAGAGCAGTCGCAAACTCAGGGATGATGAGACTCCGCAATGCGATGGCCATGGGACCATAGCAAATCTTCTCGTTCAGCGTGGCAACTGCTCCAAGCCTGTAGATCACAGCCGTCGTCTTCAAGACTCAGAACGTGTGTGCAACAGAACAGCTGTCTGAACCGAAAGGTGGACCTCAGTGCCCGCCTTGTAACCATGATAAGAGGCTGCAGGAGGTTTTGTGGAACACGGAAGACGACGAAGCTCAAAAGCATGGTTTCCGCATGTTTCCCTCATTTCGTGGTGCTGCAAAGCCATCTTCTTTAAATGTCCTCGCCCTGATGCGGCAGGTCTATGCACAGTTCTATGGTGCATTGATTGGAGGACTTGTTTTCGCCCATGCCCTGGCATCCGACATAGACCGCGGTCGGTTGTGGAACGTGTAATCATGAGAGCCAGCTCTGCCGCCTTGCCAAGATCTTCGTCGCCTCGGACTACTTGGACATTGTGGCGCTGGCAATGCAGGACGATGTGATCGCCCACAACAAACTTAACGTGCAAAAGCAGAGTTTCAGCAACGAAGCCTTTTTGCTTTAAACCTGACCTTCATGTATTGCCACGGGGTACAGGCATACTGGGTTCCGCAAATACTTCATGATGCCGCGCTCTTGGTGCTCGTGCTGTGCTGTGTGAGAATGGAGCGAAGAGGTGGATAAGAAAATGGCACATGCCTGACAGGTGAGGCATGGCTCCAAGAACTCCTTCACGCGACTCAGCCTAGAGAATTCGATGGCATGTTCTGCAGCTTTTTTCTGAGAAATCCTTGTTGTCGAAGTTAGGGAACATAGACCCGTGGTCTAAGCTGAAATGCTGAATTGTGCCCAGGCGACGATTCATCATCACAATCGCGGCCGGAGACTTGTGGCGATTGGCGATTGGTGTAGCAGAGTGTAGCAAGCAACACAGAGAGCTTGGCCATACAGTGTTCAATTCCTAGAAGTTTGATTCATCACCGCACGACCCCGCCTCGGTCCGTGATGCAGAAAGTGTGGCGAAGGGGGCGAGGCGGGTGGCTGAAGGGCGAGCCCATACGGGAAAGCAAAGGCAGACAACCGTGCGCTGCCCGGGCGAGAGATTAGAGTGGGAATTTGCGAAGTTCCCCCCAATCGCCACACCGGCGCCTCTCGGATAAAAGCTCCTCCGCCACACCGCAGCTGCATACGCTATCGAGCAAACGGCGGCAAGGCTGAACCTCGCATAGAACACTGCGGAGTATGTTTGTTTCGTGGCTTTGCACAAGGTGACTCGCACTTTGGAGTTCCTCTACCTTTGGGGATGTCCCGCAGGCCGAGAATTCTGAACCGTGTGGACGGGAGCCACAGATCCATTGCCAGGTCTTTTCAACGGCGACATCTACCCTCAGCTACCTGGGACGCAATCGCCTGCATCCCCAGTCGCAAAGACGTACACGCGGTATTCGACAGTGCTCCAAAGACCAAAGATGATCTAGCAAGTGCGATGAGCATTTTCAAAAACTATGCTGAAGGTTTCAGCTTTGTGCAGCTGCGGTTTGCCTCCAGACCGCGCAGGCTTTTCTGAAGCTGCGTTCGCTGAAATTTGTGGAGCGCAACCCCAGCTCAAAACTGGGCGCGAGGTGGCAGTGATGCTGTCACAGCAGCGGCTCGGGCCCAGGCACCACCAGAGACGGCAGCAACCGGCCGATCAAGCTGGTGCCGGCAAGCAAGGGAGCCGTGGTGTCTCGTGCAGGTGGTTCGTGCCATGGCTGTGCCTCCCTCACGTGTACAACTACCGTCGGACTGCGCAGGCAGGGTGGTGGATTGGTGAATCGTCAGTATCTTTCGAACCGACACACCCATCATTTGCTGAGCCAGCTGGCTGAGGTGAATGAGATCATTACAGGGATTTCAGAAAGGAGAGACCATTCCCACGAAAGACTTTTTACTAGTTGAAATCAGCAAGTTCGTACCGTTCCAGGCAGTTCGTCACATCAAGGCTTGTCAAGGCAGCTTAGACCAGTCGACATCGAACACACAAGGACCTTGTGCACTCTGCGGCATGCATGAACAAATCTTGAATGCATCTGCTGCACAAGGCCGATGTGGGTACCGAGTGTGTCATCTGCATGCTGGAAATCACTCCCGAGGAAGCGCCCAACATTAGCGTGCGTGTATCCGAGCAGTTCAGCAGGGACCATCTATCGCGAGCGACTACTTTGCGATGCTGATGTCATGTTGCATCTTCAGAAATGAACTTGGACTTTGGTCTGCAGGATGGATCTCACATTGTCACCACACCGTGCGACCACCGCTTCCATGACTCGTGCCTGGAGAGGCCGGAAATCGATTCCAACATTGAAACAGGGCCAGCGTAGGACCCAATGGAAAGGAGCCCATGCCCTGCAGCCTGCAGTGTTCCCACACTTTTGTTGGATTCGAGGGTTCCGAAGGGTTGCCTTCAGCACTCCAGAGTCTTACACATGCATTGCAGATGCATCTTTTTCGCTCTCGCCGTTTGTCTTTGTCTCTCTGGCTATCTCTCTCTCTCTCTCTCTCTCTCTCGCTCTGTCTCTTTGTCCCACTCTCTCGCTCCTGCGTCTGCTCTTTGTAAAACCGTAGAAAGAGTATGCAATGTGGGTGCAGGTTCCCGGCAAGTTAGGACACGGCATGCAATTCACAGATTCTACAAGCTATGACTTTCGACGGAGCTGCTGCGACAAAGAACGTGGCATGTATGCTGAGTAGCCGGTGTTGCAGTTGTCATGACAGTACGTTCGGTTTGTCCAATATCCTAGGGCCCTGGAATTGCGTGAATCTTCAATGCATCCTGCCAGTATGCAGCAGTCTCGGCGAAATCCCAGCAGAGTTTGGGGCTGCGGCAACTTACCCGCCGACTTTGTTATCAGACTCCACCCGGCTTTAGCCGTTCGCAGGTGGATGGACGTGAAGATGGAGTGCCCCACGTGCCGGAGAATTCTGCCGCCCATGTGAGCTCGACATCTGGACAGCATCATGCGGAGAAATGGAAGACAGCTTTGTCGTAGAGCTGCTCAGAGTTCTCGGCGGATTCCAAATGGGCAAAGTCCCTGCTGAGACACCGCAGAGGCCGCAAAGTTTCGAAAAGAGTCGGCTTAAGCCTCGCTTTAACCTTCGGGAAGACTGAAGGCCTTTATGCATGAAAACTCTCCCTCTGGGTAAAGGCTCCTTCAAGTGTGCGACGACCTTGACAGGTCATTGACACTGCCCATGAACAGGCTGCTTATGAGAGAAAGGTGTGGCTTACGCACAGCTTGGCTCCAGGCCCATGCTGAATAAATCATGACATGAACATGGGTAGCAGTGGGCAAATCGTCCATACCTGTTACACAGCAGCCCATGATGTACATGAAGAGCGAAAGACGTCTGCAAGCTGCAACTACCCTCCGCTGATTTCTCGCTTGAAACACGATGGTGCTCCGCAGGCTGCAATTGGAAATTGATCACGTTCATAAACCGATAGATTTCTTGCTGTTGCTGCTTTCGTCGTTGATCTGACCGAATTCTGCGTGACATCCCTGGCTTTGATCAGGTCGAAGCGCACAGGCCGGAAGCAGCCGGAGTTGAAGGCCGCCCGGAGATCTTCGAGCGGCGCGCTAAGCATCCCGTGCAAGCTACACAGCCGCCTTGATGCCATTACCGTGAACCGTAAAAGCGAGTCACAAAGGCCTCGGTGGCCTGCCTGTCGCGCGACTCTCAGGGAGCCTCAAGAGGCCGCCCAGTGGCTTCTTGCATTGAGTTGACGCACAGGTTTGAGAAGAGCTCGACCTGCAGGAATCGCGATGATACGTGCTTTTGCAGAAAGCAAAATGCTTCTTAAGCCCCGGCACAAAAGAGGCGACAGACGGAGCATGGAATGCAATGCACAGCCGAATAGAGTCAGGACAAAGGCGTACAATGCTAGCAGCTTAAAAAGTCGCAGTCCAAAGCATGGGCGACATCCTCTAGGCATCGTTGCGTAAGGTAGAGTATCTGGCCGTTGAAGTCATTGACAGGGCTGATGCGGTGCTTCACCACATCAGAAGTGCTTCATCCTTCGTGAGTCAACGCTCATTCAGCTTGTTGCACTGACACTTGGCATGGAAAGCTGTTCTTCATTTTCCGACAGCAGCCAAAACAAACCGTTTCAGGCCTTACTGTCATGTTTGAGATTCTCGGGACTCTCAGGCCACTTCCCCGGGCGGTGGCTGGGAGCGCCTTCGGAAGCGGCTGCGAAGCCGGGTGGACAAAGGCATGGGCCTTTGAGCTCCGTGAGAGGTGAGAAGTGCTAGCTGCTAAATCTGCTAACTTGCTTCCTAAAGCTTGCAGCTGCTGTTGTTTGGAGGTCAATGGCCTGGCATTGCAGCATGCGCAATCATCGGAGGCTCAGATGTTGTCGAAGATGATGTACACTAACGCACAGAAGCAAAGCCGGTTGATCCAAAAGACCTTGTCACGAATACGGCAAAGAGGAACTCGATGGTGGAGGCAAGGCGAGGAATCAAAAGAAATCATTTTCCCGAAACCAACGGCGAATAGCACGCTGATGTAAGTATCTTTTAACATGGAGGTGGGGAGGAGCTGGGGTATTTCCGTTGGCCGTCGAGGACCTCCGTCGCCGCAAACCTCCCCACTCGACTCCGCGCATGTTTGTCCAAATGCTTTGGGCTTTGAATGAACCAGGGCGTGCGCATGCGCCCACAGAGACGCATCACGCACGCACAGTGTCGCGCGCGATGCAGGAAGCCACGTGCTTTGCTCGTCTAGAAAGTTTCAAAGCGTTTCCAGCGCAGGTCAGCTGCAGATGATCGAAGAGAGTGGTTACGTCAGGGCCTTGGAAGCCTCGGAAGCACACAGCTCGCCATGGGATCTTGGTCTGTCCTTGTGTGATCTTGGCCCCAGGGAAGGATCTGTGTCATTGAAGGGTGCTGATCGAGGGTGGAAGTATGCTGGAACATGAAGACAGCATGCAAGCAGCTGCTGGGACGTGCTGGTCAGCAGAGCTCAGCTGACTCTCTTGCATTGGACATGCAGCAGCTGCTCCCTGTGACGCATCTTTCAGCTTCATCTTTTTACTTTGTCTTTTGCGTAGAACTGCTGCAGCGGACTGAGACTCAAAAAAGAGTGCCCTCCATGCTGACATTTCCTGCCCAACCTCGCTGTGGCATGCCGTGGCCCGTCGGGCAAGTTAGTGAGAACACGAACGGCAACTTGAAGTCTCTAGGATTCTAGGCTTTCAGCGTCTGAGGCTGATGTGGAGGCAAAGATCCCCATGAATCGCAAGTCCATCGTCAGGGCAGTGCACTCAGCAGACACGTGCTGAATTCTGCCCGTGCTTGATCGGTGCGTCACTTACATGGGCTCATGGGCTCGAAACTGAATGGCAGTCCCGGGCTTTGGATGAGGGCCTGGGGCTTCGGTTCGAGGGACTTCCTCTCTGGGAGCTCAACAAGGGCCTTTGGAGTACAGTGGGGCAATATGGGGCAATGGGGAAACCTGCGAAGGACTTTGAAGGACTGTGACAGGTTCGCAGCCTCCAGCAAGGTGCTGAAACACCTGCCGTGCTCTGCTGCCACCTCGCTTGCTGCGATGTCCCATCGATTCATAGAGCAAAATGAGCGGCCAAGAAGGCCAGCAGCTTCAGAGTTGATCCTTGGACGCATGCCTCATCTGCTTGAGCCATGTGTTCTTGTTTTCGGTCGGCGCACATACTCTGTACTCTTGCGCAAAGCTGCAACATTGCTGTTCAGCTTAGGGTTTAGGCTGTACGTGGCAGTGCCAGTTGAGAAATCTCTGGTGAGCATGTAAACGGCAGCACTGGCACCACATCTGACGATGTCAGTCCTCGGAAGAGGACCATTGCTTCTGCAACGTGCCGGCTGCTTTGGATCAAGCTTAGCTATTGTAGCACATGGATACCCACGTTCTTGAATGAAAATCCAATAGACCTGAAATGACCTGAACCTCGTAGAGTCATAGAGCAACCCACGCCAGCACCGCACGATTTGTACAGATGCCGCATGCCATCAGAAACTAGCGAGAGGCAAGTAGGTGCACGTAATTTGCAGCCGCAGGGCTTTCACTGCGATGCTGCAGCCTGATGTAGATCGAGGCCATGCAGAGCGTGCTGTGGAGCCAGTCACTGGCCAGCGCAATCTGGATGAAATGCGCCGTCTCTTGCAACAGCGGCAAGCTTCACTGCCCCGAGAAAGGGAAGCCCGAGAGTCCCGAGAGCCTGTGGAACTGCCACCGGCAACTGCACCGGAGCTGCAGGAGCAGTTCATCCGCTTGACGCAGGAGAAGCGAGAGCTGAAGGATTACGCAGAGCGTGTGACCCGCGAACTGCGTCGGTATCAGCAGAACAGCAAGCGTCCTTTGCCAGAGGCCGGACCCGACGACGACATTCCCTTGCCGCCTTGGGTCACGAACATGCAGATGATGTCGCCCCTGCTCTTCGCTTACGAGGAGCGCATCTCCGAGCTGGAGGCTGTTATCGAGAGGTCCGTGAGCATCGCCGAGCAGGCACAGCTTCTGGCCCAGGAGAACGACCAGCTACGTGCTGAGCTGCAAGAGCGCACCGAACAGCTACGCAATCTGCAGCTGCTGGGCTACAGTGGCGGCCAGGCTCCTGCAGAAGCCGGACTCGTGGATGATCAACACGAAGAACTCCAGGAGTTGTACCGGCTCAGCGTAGAGCAAAACGAGGCTTTGGCCCAGCAAAATCAGCTTCTAAAGCTGCAGCTTGAACGTATGCAACAGACACTTGCAGCAGGACGGCAGCAAGCCCAGGAGGTTTATGCGAAGGCTAGCGAGAACACGAATGCCTTGGCAGAGGAGGTGCACAGGGGAGAAGCCTTGGCCCATCAGCGGGCCGTCGCCGAGCAGCGCTTGGAAGAGGTGACGGCAGAGCTTGTCGATCAAGTCAGTCGCCGGGATGCTCTGGAGGCAGAGATGGAGTCCTTGAGGCACGAGCTCGAGGTGCAGACCCAAACCAATGAAATCAACCAGAAGTCCTTTCAGGAGAGGTGTGCTTTGGCGCTAGACGAGGAGGAGCGGCTAAAAGCCGACCTCGCCCGAACGCAGAAGCGTGAAGGCGAGTATCGTCGCCAGGCGCTGGAAGCACGGAATGGCCTGGACGAGCGGGCAGAGGAGCTGCACCTGACACGGAAGGACCTCTGACCCTGACAGTTGCACGACTAGCCTGGGACAAGAACCCAGAAGCTAGGCCATGCTAGACCCATGTCCCAGTACATAAAATGATGCTACTGGCATGTGCCGAAAGTTGAAAAAACTGCTGGAAGGAGCTCGAAGCCACCAAGCAGGAGGCTCAGCAACTCTTGCAGACTGCCGATGCCTTAGC